TTGCAACAGAGGTGAAGTACCTAGGTCTCACCTTGGACAGCAAGTTAAGATGAAACCCGCATTTAGAAATCAGAGTTAAAAGAGCACATTGCTTATGAACTATTCCGCTCCGAACGGTGCACATACGGCAATTATCCTTATTTAGCGCGCCAAAAATAAAAAAAATTGATATTTTAAAAACATGTTTCATCCACACAGTATTGTTCTGTATACATTCGTGCTCTTTACGCCACCGAGAACTGCGGATAAATAAGAGAGTAATATGGGTAGAAAGAGTGCACTTTCAGTCTTAAGTGTAGTTGACGCATAAATCAGCATGCGAACACTTGTTGGAAAAGTACATGTTGTTGTTTAAATGTTGTAATCCAAGAAATTTTCCAAGATGGACTGTGAAGCTTCATGTATGTATTTCTTATTCAAGTATTAACAATGTATTTATTTGTTTCTTGCCTAATAATAACGGCAGCTTTTGGTGGACCTAATTTTATTCATTCTTTTTTGTATACGGCTAATTTCTGCGAGGGCTACAAAAAAAGTTCCACCGAGTTCCACTCTCGTTTTTTATGTTATAGTTAGATAAGACCTTTATCTTTAAGAGCTTACAAAAATTTGCGTCCCCAAGTGTCCTCTGTCTGATACAAGTTATTTTGTTTAGAGGTAGTCACAACAACGTTGATCCGCATCTCCCCAAAATCACTAGAAATTAATTTTTTTCTGTTCTACAAAGCGATAAATTTTTCTCATTAGGGCTAAATGGCAATTAATAAAAATAAATCAAAATGCTATTTCGGTTTTCCGACGGATTTTATGCTTCTCAAATAAATTAATAAAATAACTTCCTTACAGCATTTAAAACAGCAAATTTATCAATATTTTAGGAAAAACTGTCGACCTGGAAACAGCACAAATAATAAAAAGTGAATTTACATGTCCTCATACCCTGCATCCCAAATTTTGTATATTTCTGAGGAAAAGGTTTCGAAAAATGAAGCGTTTCCAAACTTTTCTTCTATTCTGTATATTATCTAGAACACTTTTGAATTACCCGAACCTTGAGTGACAACGCATAATATTAAACACAACGTACTTCAAAATTAAAAAATTCGTAAGTTATTTTTTTTTCCTAAATTAAAATCGTTCCTGATTTTTATGTATTGGGATGAGATAATAGGCATCCTTTGATTAAATTTTTGACATAAACTGGTCCTGTAACGAAATATTCTGGGCAGACCTGACATCTTCCAGTTTGAAATGCGAGGATCTATATATTTGTTAAGGATTCATCTAGATGAATCATTTCATTTGGGTCTAAAAAAAAAATGAGAATCAAACTAATTTTCTTTAGCAAGCAAACACCTGTTGGGTTCTTTAGTAAAAGATTTTCTGTAAGAGAAAACATCCTTTGGTGAATCCTCTTTTGTGTGAACAATGTTTTAAAGATTAATTTAAAACCTTTAACATATCTTAGGACCTTCTTATTTTTAGTTAAGTTAGGTAGCCCACATATTTTACAAATTTATACAGTCTACCCGCACTCTCTCTTACCTTTATTTCCTTCCCTAATAACTCCTCCTCCCCTCTCTGTTTTTCTGAATCCTTGTTGGTTCGTCCTCTGGGTTTTTCAAATGCTTTATCTGACTTCCATATCTCTACAAGATTCTTTCCAAAATGAAAAATCATTGATATATTCTTTTTATATCATATTTTTCACATTTGTGTTTAAAGACGGATATATAAGGTGCCTACGATGCATATATTCCATGGTAGATATCTGGTAATACTTTTGTTTTGATGCGTCTATTTCTGTTCCGTCCAAGCCTAGCTTACAGAGGTTCAGCTAAACTTCCCATCACCTTTCAAGTTGGTCTTGCAGCATAGATAAATAGCTGTCGGTTTTATTTGATGAGGTGACTAGTCACTAAACTTTTTAGTTCGTGGTTTAAGGTGGAGAACCCAAGTAAAAGTTTTCCAAATTTTGTTTTCGCAAAGAAACTTTGATATTTTGCCATTCTTGCAAATATTTTCGCAACTTTCTTCGTTGATTGGTTTTCCGAGAGATGTGCTGCTATTAGGATTCGCTACCAGAATATCCTGATACTGAATTTGACTCTTGCTATTCAAACGTCTACGTAAAGATGACGAGTTTAATGTATACCTCTTAGATTCTTATTCTGAATCAACTTAAATCTATATTTAATCAATGGCTAATTCATGTGCACGTAAGGTGGTATTTTTTTAAATGTGCAGAATTTACCCATACTCACACAGTAATATAATCAATGAACTTTGCATAGCAATTTTGCGTCCTTGCATTTTATAAGCATATGACCAGAGTTACCCGATAAAGCAGCCTCTTTTGTACATTTATTTTTCTATAATTCAGAATTTACATAGTACCTACCTTCTGCTCCCAAAGTTTTTCGAAGTTTACACAAGAAATGAAATCTCGAATCGAAAATTATTTTTTAAAAACTTTTATTTAACTTAAAATACAAAAATATAGATGTGTATGCTTTGAATGCTAACTAGGAACTCCCTTAAACTGATTACAACTACTTTTATATAAACAACTATTCTAAAATGCTAACTATGCAAAATTGTATATATAATGTATTTTCCATTAGTATGGGTGATATAACTCACATTTTTCGCGGTGCAGTTAGCCAAGTTTGCAGTTTATAAGTATAAGATAAGAGTGAACCTATAAAGTAGCCTTCTCTGTACATTTATTTGGCTTAAATGCTTTACAAATAAAATAGTCTCTTCTCAACCAAAGTTTTATAAAATTTACATAGTTTTAGCTTTGCAGTTAGCTGGGCTTGTATAGTGTAAGTATTAGATCAGAGTTAACACATAAAGTAGCGTCCTCTGTACATGTATTTATTATTTTTGCAGAATTTACACAAGAAGTAGTATCTTCCGCCACCAAAGGTATGCGAAATTTGAACATAAAGTAGCATTTTTCACTTTACAGACGGCTTATATGAATAACGTATCTTCTGAATAATTTTTGTATATCGTCTAAATGCAAAAAATTTACATAAAGCAATATCTTCTACAAGCTAAAAATCAATTAAATTATAAACCAAACATTATTCTCAAACCTGTACTAGTATAAGATCAGCCTTAACACATAAAGTAGCCTCCTTTGTACATTTCTTCCTCCACCAAAGTTCTGCAATATTTGCACATTAAGAAGCATGTTTCGCTTTGCAGAAGGCTTTTATGAATGAATGCACCGTTAATACATAAAGTAGTATCCTCTGTATATTTATTTGTCGTCTAAATGCATGAATTTACACAAAAAGTAGTATTTTCTGCAAGCTAAAAATCAGTTAAATAAAAAGAAAAACATTATTTTCATACCTGTGCCCGGGGGCCCTATTCTCGAATGTCTATTTCTAAATGTCACACGCGACATTGATGATATGTCGAACAAGAACGCAACAACGTATTCTGGAATGTCGAATTCGACATTTGTTGTTAGACATAAAGTCGAGTGGTATTCAACCAGTCGACATTGAAATGTCGCATGCCTTTTTAAATATGTCATGAGGGTCATGACAGTGACAGTTTATATTTATTTTTAAGAGAAATGAAAATAAGTATTGTACAAATTGTTCTTAAAAATATATGAAATGATTATTTATAATTTCACCTAAGGTCTACCGGCAAAAGACCGGTAGACCTTCGTTCAAGCTGAGGGCCCTCTTTGAGGAAGCGGGCCTCGTTCGGGCAGTGGATTCTTGTTTAGGCATCGGGCCTCAATCACTGGGGCTCATTCAGTATGCCTAAGTCAGTGGGCATCAGTCTGTGGGCCCTTGAGAATAAGAAATGCGAAATAACCTTTGGAAAAAGCATCAATGTGCTAAAAGGGCCTTTTTTGCTCTTCAAGGAATCGGCCCATGAAAGAGATGTAATACCTGTCATTAAAAAATTTATATAGTTCTATTTTTTCAAATTGCAGGTAAAAAGATTATATCACTGACATTTTATGTAATGTTTAGATTATATTATACTGTGATAATATATTTCTTCTTTTTACTATTTAATCTCTTACCAAATTGTACTTCCAATTTTCTATTTAATCCCTTATGAAATTTTAGTTAAAAGTTTATATTTACTCTACTTTCTAATTAGTATTTATCAAAAAGACATATATTTGGGATATATTTGCAGTATTACTTTGTATAACTAAGGGATCCTTCAAGTAATTGTGTGCTGTAATATACTCGTCTTGTATGTTTCTATCCAATGTTGCCAGATGTTACCATTCGCCAAATATGTCACCGATTACAAATTGTCGATTTTACTTTGAGAATATGGATAGTGTCAGTCGATCGACATTTTGATAGACATTAGTAGTAGACATTATGACGAATGCGACATTTTTAATAGACATTCGAGAATAGGACCCCGCTACTCCCAATTTCTTCATTCTTTCTCAATTTATCGTAATTTTAAGACGTTTGGCGTTTTCAATAATTTATACCAAGCATGTCAAACTCGCGGCCCCCGGGAAAGAAAGACTAGTTGCATGATGTAGGTAATTAATTATTATACGCTGTCGTTGTTTAATTTTTTTTTTTTTTTTTTTTTTCGATGTTGTTAGAATGACTTCTATTAGACTCGTGTAAGAACTTCTTAAGTGACAATATTATTTGCTTTGAGAAACATAAAACGATACGATTAATTCTTTTGACGAATTAGTTGTTTAGTGTGTAGTTATTTTCGTTTTGGTAAGTTAATGTTAATTAAAACGATACATAATTGTGAATTTACTATTACTGGTTTATTTTAGACTTTTCTATTTAGTATGTCTTTATCAAAACCGAGTGGGAGTAAAATAAAACGAAAAATTACCAACGAACATCGAAATGTTCAAGAAAAGTGGGAACTAGAGTATTTTTGCTGTGATAAAATAATTTGTTTGATATGCAATAATACTATTAACGTATTAAAATTATATAACATTAAACGCCACTATGACCAACATAAATTAAAAGTTGATAATTATTACGAAGGAATGATGAGGGAGACAAAGTTGAAAGAGCTTAAGTTGGGACTGAAAAACAACAGTTCATGTTTAGTAAAATACCACAAGAACGTGAATCGGTGGTTCAAGCAAGTATTACAGGAGTTAATAGCTAAACATTCAAAACCTTTCACAGAAGGTGATTTCATCAAGGAATGTCTTATTAAAGCTGCAAAAATTATGTGTCCGGGAAGCGCGAAGGCTTTTGAAGTAATTTCTTTTTCTCAAAATACAGTTGCTGAAAGAGCTTCGGGTTTGGCTGCCAATATAAGAAATCAGATCAAGACAAAATCATCTTGTTTCGAAGCTTTTTCCATTGCCTGTCACGAGAGTACAGACATTGGCGGTGTTGCTCAATTAGCTGTGTTTCTTTGTGTCTGCGACAAGTATTTTAACATTTTTGAGGAATTACTGGAACTAGTACCGATGCACGGCACTACTACAGGACAGGATGTATTTGATTATGTGTATGAACATCTTCAAAAATATAATCTACCTCTGTCAAAACTAATTTCTGTAGCTACAAATGGAGTTCCTTCCATACCCTGAAAAACCTATGGTTTTATTGAATTGCTGCAAAACAAACTTAGTGAAATATACAACGAATCTAAAAATTCATTATATGCAGTTATTTACACTCATGAAAGGGAATAAATCTCCAGTCAGATCCAGACTGACTCACAAACACCTTGGATCAATTTTGAAGTTGATTACCGCAAATAGTATTTCTTCAGAAATAGAAAAGTTAGTAGCGGAAAAGAGATGCCAAGTCTCAGGAAGAAAATATTAATTTTATTTATGTATTTTCTATTTACAGATTAGATATTAGCTGTTTTTAAAAATAAACTGATTTTCTGATATTTTTTTTACAAAATGTTTTTAATTTTTTTAGAATAAAGTATTTTTAAATACATTTTGGGTAAATTTTTGAGTAAATTTGAGCGTGGCTTCAAAAATGTATCAACTGCGTCGTATTGTCTACAGCGCTTTTGCCTGGTTGCGGTCCACATAAACATACATTTTATCTATTCAGCTCAAGTTACTTTTTCAGTTTGACATGCTTGGTTTATACCCATGTTTTTATAATCTCTGGAATGTAGTCGGTCAGAACAATGTGAATCACGCGACACAAAAATTGGTAATGAGTAATTTAGGAAGGCAGCGATAGAGAATAGCATAAAAAATTGACGATCTGAACATGTGGGTCAGCAGCGTAACATAGATATACAACATGGTTATCTTTATTTCCACTAACAAGGATGTGAAGCATAATTAAAATAGCACGTATTCAATTCATCACTTACCTTTTCATTATACTATAACGTATCCACCTTGATCCAGTCCACGAATACCACGAAATGAATTTTTGAAAATTAAGGGATATATTACCAAATCTTTCCTATGAAATTGTGGTATTATCTACAAAACTTCTGAACCAGTACATTTATATTTATTATGAATGGAAATAAAACAACTAAGCATTTTACAACATTTATTAAAATTTTTGGACATGTTAAAAATTATCAATTTGAAGACAAAAAAAAAACATTTAAAAAAATTAAGAATTAGTTTCTAGTAAATAATAGAAAATTATAAACATACAGTAAGTCCTCTTAATATTTGGTGTTAGAAAATCGCAGTATTATGTTATCTAAAAAACAAACGTTTCCACACTGATTCCTAAAATATACATAATGTACTAGAAAAAAATGAAAATATAAATATGAGTTTGTACTATAATTCGACTATTTAAAACCATCACATAGGACACTTTATATATTTTAAGAATATGTTTCAAATTACTCGATAAATGGAGTACCCTGTACAATATCGTCTTCTAGATATAGAAAGCAAACATCAAGCATATTACAAAAATTCAGTCAATATGTAATAATTGTCACCTTTTCCAGTAAGTATTAGCTGAGTTATCACAAATCTAACAAATCTAAAATTTATAAGGTGATCTTTGTTTTTGCAGGTAAAATTTGGAACCAGCAGTGTGTATTGAAAAAATTTGCTATTTCTCACCGCCACTTTGAATATTTTTGATATCAAATTTGGAGTCAGCGACCCAGAAAACCGTATTATACAAGTTTCGTGTAAGTAAGAAACATTTACAATTTTTGTCCGTCATTTTTTATTAGATATTTTGAGTTCTGAATTTCTGTAATTAAATTTGAAGTCAGCATAGCCCGAAATTCCCTCCTATACAATGTTTCATTCAGGTTTATGAACGATTTACAATTATTATCCGCCATTTTGAATTTAGAAACTAGATTTAAAATCAGCGTCCTAAAAAAGTTTCACATACAAAGCGATACATTAGAACTTCGAATGTTGACCGAATTGAATTGCTTCCTGTGCACATAAGTACCAATTTTCATTTTAAATTTTAGAAATAATTACAAGTAGGATGGAACTTAATCAAAATTAAAAAAGTACTAAAGTGTACTTTAAAGTACAATCACTTTCAAACTGCCACCTTATAAAGTTTGGAATATCTCAAGGGAGGGTCATGAGACCTCTATTACTTTAAATATATACTGGGGATTTGCCTATTACAAATTATATCAGAATTGTAATAGTTGCGGATAATATTTCCAATAAACATTGATGCAGTTCAAACATCATAGCAACTCCCAAAATCATCTAGACAATGTTTCTTAAGGGAATCTCAGAATCTTCTAAAAATGTTTTATCACGAGTAATCCACGCGAGAAAATCCTTATCATATGTATTTATACTCACAAGAAAAGATAACAGTATACATTTGTACTATACAGGGTGTTTCCGAACTTGGCGTCCAAATTTGTAGGCGTGGTAGGTCGCATAATTTGAGAGCGATTGGCAGATTTCATTTTTCTAAAAAAATTATAATAAACAAAATAGAGCCATTAAAAAAAAATCAAAGAGCAGGTCCTACCCTGAGCGCGTAGCGCAATAGTCCTCAAAAAGAGATGCGATTTGCAATTTTGTCGATTCTAAGCGTAGCGCGAGCGAGTCGAGGCGTTCCTATCGTTGTGCAGGACCGTACCTGTTTATAATTCTTAATTAATCTTTATTTTTATTTGAAATATTTTGGAAAAATGAAATCTGCGAATCGGTCTCAAATTATGCATACTACCACCCCTACAAATTTGGACGCCAAGTTCGGAAACACCCTGTATATTTTTTTACCAATTTTTAATTCTTTAAAAACACAAATAATTTAAACGAAATTTGTACAGAATCACCGAAAACGAATTGCAAGAATTAGTAAATCGAATCTAGAAGCCTTTAAAAATGCACATCAATCAGAAAATATGTCAAATATATGTATATATTATATACCTCGCGCGAAATTGCACCTCTCTTTTCGCCTTGACCCGGTATATCAGCTAGTCTAGTCAACTAAATCCAGAAAGGCACATTAATTTAAGTGAATATCTCCATCTAATAAATATGTGATTGTTAAATTTGACACACTCGGTATTAAGAAATTTGACCAGCTTGTTCTGAAATGGGGAACGAAATATATCTTACTAGCTTTCATTGGTTAGTAGGGCATAAATTATATGTAGTTTTGGGGCAATTTGAAAACTTACCTTTCAAACTCCTCTATGGAATAAAAAAGTTTAACACCTTGAAACGTGTTTTCACGTTAATATGTCAAACTTTTACTATCTGCTCAGATTTTTAGAGACAATTATTTACTACTATAAAATTCACTCCACGAATATAAGTTTAAAATACACCCAAAAATTCCACCGACAAGTCAGAACAAGTTGGGCTTTACTTTTAATCATAAATAAACTCTGATTTAACTATCAACATTAATTTTAATAATTAACAATTAATAAAATAATTTTTACACGTAAATAAAAAAAACCATTAGTAATCAATATATAAACTTAACAAGTGATGTACTACTACGATAAAAAATACCAAGTTTAATCATTACCATCTAAACTCATATGTACAAAATTTGACTTAGAAATAAGTGATTATATAACAAATGCGAAATGGACTTCTAACTAAAATGAAATGTCATATTCCCTTGATAATAAGAAAATGTCGAAGAAGACAATTTTGTTTGGCAAAATAAGACATGTTTACCTGGTGGTAAGATAAGACCTTTCATTGAGACAAGCCATTTATCTGACAAGATAAGAACTTTCTGTCCTGAAGATAAGACATGCCTGTTCGATAAGATGACACTTGTATGTGAGAAGACATTTCTGTCTGACAGGATAAGATATATTTGTCTGACAATAGCTTTGTTCGCGGTAAGAATTCTGAACCGAATTATTACTAATAGTAACAATTTCGCAGGCGCAGTAGTTAAAAAGCGTTCGCGGAACAAAAATAACTGAACTATTGGTTCTATCCTGCGTTCGCGGTAAAATTATTATTAATTTTAAACCGCTTGTCTATACCTGAAACACCGAGGTAAAAATTCAGAATTCATAATGATTCGGGCATGCGCTCAAAGTATGAATTAGTAATTCTGAATCAGTTCAGGATTGTTACCGCGAACGAAGCTAATATAAGAAAAAAATTAGAAAATACATTTGTCTGATTAAGATAATACATTTGTCTGGTAAGATAAGACATTTGTCTGATAAGATAAGCCATTTGTTTGAAAATACATTTCTATCTAAAAAGATAGGGCATGTCTGTTCGACAAGGTGAAACTTCCGTGTGATGACACTTCTGTTTGACAAGATGGGACAATTACGGCTGAAGAAATAATACATTTTTGTTTGACAAGATAAGACTTTTTGTCTGAGTAGAAATTGCATTTGTCTGATAAGAAATAAGACATGTCTTTTCGGCAAAATGACACTTGTGTATGGAGACATTTCTATTTGACACGATAAGACATTTGTCTGAAAAGATAAGACATTTCTCTTCGAAAAAGTGACATATTTCTGTCCGAGACATTTTTGTCTGACAAGATAAATTTGTCTAACGCTACGTTTGAAAAGTACCTCACGGCGCGGAGTAGAGCTAGATTTTTTAGTCACGTCAATTCGAGCTTATGTGGAATAAAAGAACGGCTATTTGTTTGTGTTTCCCGTATCCGGTTTTCATTAAAATAACAAACGTAAACCTTTCTTTTAAATCAAATTTGATCTCTCGTCTCGTAGTTTTTGTTGCAAGTTGCAAAGTAAAGTGGATTTTTAGCTATGGTATTTTTCACATTTTGCTTCCATTAGAAAATAAACCATGTTCTCATTTCTGCCCGACATTGTTTATAAATATTTTTTTTTTTTAATAACCAAACACTGGAAAAAAAATAAACTGCCCACAAGAGACAACGAACGATGTCTGTACATCTCAGAAAAGTACATCTACTTTATCAATTGTCACAGAAATTACATTTACTCCGAAAGCTCTAAAATTTAATTCGGAGTAAATAGATCTTACTCGATTTACCAGCTCTGCATTAAAAGACCACGGAGCAGATCCCATCGAGAAGCCGCAGATGTATTAAATGAACGGCTTCAAGTAAAAAGAACAAAACGCAGCATAACAAGATAAAACCTTTCTTTCTGACAAGACATGTCTGATAAATTGACATTTTTATCGACAAGATGAAACTTCTATGTGATAAGATATTTCTGTCTGAAATGATAAGATATTTTTGTATGACAAGATAAGACAATTTTGTCTGACGAGATAATAATTTTTGACTGACCAGTTCAGACGTTTCCGCCTTCCGTTTCTGACATTTCTATCAGAGTGGGATTTAAATTGAAAACGACAATGTCCTAAGACCATAGTGAATAAATTTTACAGATTTGATGGAACGTAATCAAGTCCACAATAAAACATTGAAAAACGCGAAGATGATATTGTTCCCAATTCATATTTAATTATAATTGACTTTCCTGTAAAAAACTAAATTGTCCCAGAACACTGCGCTTCAGCGATACAATTTTGTATCTTTTACTGATAAATTTGTTATTATTAATTTCCAAAGTTGACAAAACTGTTTTCTCTCACATTTTTATAATTAAGGCTAGGAATATTTTCAACTTTAAATAGTGATCCATTTCAATACTTGTTATAGGTAAAAAAAGCATTATAATTGAGGTATTTATTTAGAACCCCGAGATCAGAATATGTAGAAAAAGAAGTAAAAATCATTGGCATTGTTTACAACTTTATGATCTTATTTTTAATAATAATTTAATAAAATTGAAGGTAAAACGGTTTAGTTTTTTTGAAACTAAGGACTGAAAGATTTGCAGTTTTGATAGTATTCAAAATTTATTAAATACATTTTCAATCAGAGATAATTTTTTCAGGCATTAAACTCTTAAACTCAAGAACGTCTTATCAAAGGCAATATTTTTAATTAAATGTCATAAAATATACTATCTAAACTAGTAATAAATATAAGGAAGATTAAAAAATATGAACATTTATACAGCAAAAATCAATGGTAATGGGTTTATGTCAGAAACAAATCTTACAATACAATCATCATATATAATTCAGACTTGACAACCTTGTAATTTTAATTTATTTCCGAAAATGAATGTAAAACACCCAGGAAAACAGAAGCTGAATGAAAACCGCAAAACTTTCAATCTTACCATGGTAAAGACATTTCTAAAATATGAATAAATCAATAATTATTTGACCATATTCTGGGCTCCTATGGGTATCATTTAAACCTTAAACCTTGTTTTTATACGTCTGTAAGTACTTTTTCTATTTTTTTGTTTTTAGTATTATTTGATCCTTCTTGCGTTCTTTTTTTTTTTGTTTACATGCCGTCAGGCTTGGGTATGTTCGTGTTGTAAGCTCTTATAACGGCTGATTGGGACACAGCTCCCCCTTCTTCTTGGGAAAAAGCGAAACCATCTAGACAAAATAAAAAAATTATTAATTAAAAAAATATGGTTAAAACGGACTATATTGTACTACTTAATTGATTAATTTAATTTAAAAGGAATATACTGTAAGATATGAAATGTTAAATAATTAGTATTAAATTAAAAAATTGGTTAAAAATTAGTAAAATTAATATTGCCATATATACAGCTCAATATTTATCGGTATAAATGCGTGATAAATGATTATAAAAATATTAAAATAACTGAAAATATCGAAAATCTATTTGAACTATACAAGGTGAGTCAAAAAGGAATACATATATTTTAGGAGGCGATAGAAAAATGGAAATTAGGGTCAGTTTGCTATATAAACCAATGTCCGAAACTTTGAAATAAGGGAGACAAAGCCATTCAAAGGGGGCAAGTCCAAATTTCATGGAGATTTAATGATAAAACAAACAAAAATTCAGAAGGGTAGTTTAAGGGGGTGATTGGGTATTCTAACCTTTATTTTTTTTTTCTCTTTAGAAAAATTATTTAAGTAAAACAAATTTCCATAGTTTTTACCTAGAAAAAAGGTATTCTTGTTTAAACTAGATAGAGTGAATCGTTATAAAAAAATTTGACTTTTAAAATGTATTTGCAGACTGGATAATTTGTTAACGTAACATAATAACAGTATTGCAAAATCTCAAGTTTGATCATAAACGAAACTTATACATAAAAACTTAATAATTAAACTATAATATAAAACTACAACAAATGTTCTCCATTTTGTTATTTAACCCCCGGGACATAGATAGTCCCATAATTATTAAAAAACACGCTTAACGTTAAATTGCCCGGTAAAATCAAAAATCCAAGGAATAAATTACTCATTGTCGTTGCCCAAACATCGACTTTAAAAGTATGTTAATAATGGTATTCTCGCACAATAAAAGAATTTTCTTCAGCATAAAAATGGGAGTTGTGCGTAAATGTGGCCTCATCGGTGAAAATAATTTTATTGAAGAAATGTGGGTGTTGAATTGCATTTAACAAATTACATTCATCTGTTCACTCAATATTGCATCCAATATACACTAAGCTTTCATTCTCGATTTTTTACTACTCCTGGAGACGTCAGCCGATAAGGAAGGTCTCCCAACAAATAACTACGTCACAGGCATCATTTACTTCTTGTCCATTTCTCATTGGTTACTGCCATAGGTATCATCCACTTTCATTGGTTAGCACCACAAGCGCAATGTACTTCTTATTGATTAACGTCACAAGCGTGACTCTCAAGCGCGCTTAGCGACCATCTCTCCCAAGGGCGTCAGAAACCATCAAGCACATCACAACGTTTTGCGGTGTTAAAAAGGCGACGCTCTGTTCTAAGTAACAAATTTATTATAGAAATACTGTAAATAATGTAAAAAGTATAAGTGCACTATGTAGTGATAGATCAAATCATTCCATTAGTATTTAATGTGTTCAATCAGAAGGTGAGCTTTTAATCCAAATTCTACATATTCCAGGCCTATGGATCGCACAGGCATTTTCAAACTTTATTATTACTACAGTTTATTATTTTGTTAAGGACCGAATGTCAGTCCTAGCTTTTTTATGGCGCGGATACATCGCTAGAAACCTGTATATCGGTCAAACCGCTACAATGGTCACTTTGGTTTTTTTCTAACAGTTCCTGGCAACACTCTAGTCTGGTTGGTAAATTGTCAGGAAGAAGTTCTTGAACTTTTCGAAACTGAAAACCATGCAAAGACTATTCACTCAATACTCTAGCTACTGTAGATTGCGAGTTACCTTAAGGGTATTTGTCTCGGGCTGACCGTCGGGTTTTGCTCAACAATATTTAGAATTTGTTCCTCGGCTGCTATTGTTCTGGCAATTAGTGGTCGACCTGCATTATTTTTACTTCCAGTTTTCCTGTTTCCCTAAGTCGCCTTTTAACGTTAAGAAATGTCCGCAAATTTGGTACATTTAGAAGAAAGATGACATGTTTATGCATATCTTCTGACTGCAGCAATAGTATTTCCCAGCTATTCACCCAACGCAAGTAGTATATCGGTATATAGTCGTCAAATATGTACATGTCTAAACAAAAATATTATTAGGTTTGTTCCCGAAGCGAGTTACAAACTTGTTACTAACATTATATGATACGCATGCGTGACCAGAATAATATTCTGAATGAGTTCCAAATAAATGTATGCTGGAACGTTAATAAAATAAATGTGGCTGGGTGTTTTAATTGAATACAGGTCATTCGATTATATTTATTAAAAAAAAGAAGATTCTGAGGTTATGCTTTATGCTTAAATAAAAACTACCGTCCTAATTATATTTTTTGCTGTTGCAACGCTAGCTCTAACAAAACTAACCAGAAATCAAATTAAAAACAAAAGAGAAAAAGAAAATGATTTTAAATAAGCACGCATGCGCGAAAGCAGAGGTTCGTATTTTATTTAGGAACTATTAGAACTAATAACAAACATGTTATGAACAAGTTTTTAATCTTGCGGAAACACCAAACAAGTTCATTTTGTTTGGAATGTTGCTCTGCTGGAACAATTATATTGTACTGTGCATACTCAATATGTTAGGAACTCGCTTCGGGAACAATAACTAAGAACGAATAACAAACCGTATTGACACTTTTACTTAAACACAAATGTGACATTCCATAGCTCATTTGATAGTTTATTGAAACAATACATGGCAAACTTTTAATGTTAAAGATATTATGGCCCAGTTGTACCATTTGAGTTCAGGCGAGGTTCAACTAAACTTGGTTTTAATTGTGACATTTGGGTATAGTTAGTACGACGTTTGTCACAGTCTAAACTAGGTTCACTTGAACCTCTCCTAAACTGGAGTGGTACAACTGAGCCTTAGAATAACATCTATTGTGCTGTTACATTTTAACACGTTGACGACCACGCGTCACATATATGTGACACGCAGTTTTTTCCAGGAACTGCTGTCACAAATGTGTGACAATGACCCTACATTGATTAAATACAAATTACTCCCGGGCGGTTCAGCGGCGACAGATGTGTTTTGGCGTCAGTTTCTGGGCGTGTCTGGCACACACATGTGTCATATGGTTTTAGGATTGGATGGTTGGTTCCAGTCATAACCTTAAATTCACGTGGCGGCTGTGGTTTATATCGTCTCCCAACTTGTGCATATTTTTGTTGATTATAGACACACAGAAAGGAGTATAACTTGGTATTCCTATTTACAATGTAAGGATAATAAAGATAACCCTATTGGATTATGTCCGTCTCCATGTTTTGGCATGTGGCATAACAGTCAAAAATGAGAATTTCTGAAAAGTCAGAGTTGCAATTTTTTTAGATTTTTTTCTGTTTTTTATTTCTCACAATAATTATGTCTTTCTTGTAATTTTTTGCAATATAAATTATCAAAAAATTTATCCTTAGTTTCATTTAGATCATAAAATATGTTATAATTTATCTAAAATAACACGTCACACTATTGTGACAGGTGGTATATTTTAATGAAATACTACTCGGAAACCGATGTCACATATATGTGACATTAAGTAAAAATACAAAAAATGGATAACAAAACACATATCGCTCATTTGCGAGAATACCGTCACAATTAAAAAATCATCAATTCTGATAATATTGCATTTACATAATTGAAAAGGTACATTCTTTGTACAGAAACAACGATACTTCAGTAGTTATAGTGGTATTCACTTAACGGCGCTACTACCATTGACACTTTTCAAGTTTCAGCCTGGTAAATCAATCAATTAAACTTGATTATTTCGAATTGATGCTTTTTGAGTTATGCCGATATTTTCGCAAATGAGCGATATAAACTATAAAAAATATAATATTTCTGTCAAAAAGTTATGCCACCCAAAAAAACGCGGTTGGTTTCTAGCATCGTCAAATATCATAATAGCGGTCGTGAACGTGTTAAAAGTCAAATTATTCAGAAACGGTTCACTTTATCGCATTTAAACAAGATTACCTTCTTTTGTAGGAAAAACTATGGAAATTTGTTTTTCTACCAATTTTTCTAAATAGATAAAATTAAAAAATAAGTATATCAATAGGTATTCAAACCACCCCCTTAAACTACCCTTCTAAAAATAATTTTGTCGTCTTTTTTACCATTAAATCAAATGATATAAAATTTTTCAGTTCTCCAAGAAATTTTGAGTTCTCCAGTTGGAAGTTAGGACCGAAAAACTGGTTTTTCCATTCCCACTTTGAATTGCTTTATCTCCCTTATTTCAAAGTTTCGGAAGTTAGTTTATGTAGCAAACTGACCTTTATGCTCATCTTTCCATTACTTCCTAAAATATTTGTATTCCTTTTTGACTCACCTTGTATAAAAAAAGAGTTATATTTTGAGTAACAAGAATATCCTATCTAATAGGTTGTTAAAATAATTAAAAAAATATTTTCTATCAAATTTTTTTCAATTAATGTATTAAAATAAAAAAAAGTGAATTTATTACATACTTAAAAACATTTAATTTTATTTTGTGTATTATTCTATAATAATTATTTTAATCACTCATAATGAAAATACCAGGATAAATATAGATATGTATTATGTCAGTTATTGTTTGAAAATTATCAAAATTAGTTTGTATAGAATTCCAGATTTTGTTACCCCAAGAATATACCATATTTCATTTCATTAAAAACCATCGTGTAAGTACTTAAAACCATTTGGCATATTCAAAAAAGTTCCAAATTAAACTATAAAGTACCCAATACTGCAGGTACACACGAGTAAATTAAGAATAATTTTTCACTAAAATGAGCCGATATTAAAAATTGTTTTACTACATTTTAATTACTAAAAATTTTTTAATTTCTATCGCAAAATAGAAGACTAAAGATAATGAGGCGAATCGGCATACTCGAAATACAGTCCCAAAAACCGAACGGTAATTGAGCTTTTTAATTCACCGCAAGGGCGCTGGTGCTAGTAGTGCAGTTCAAAATACATGGCTTCTTATGGGAATTTTACACAAGTTTTATCAAAATAATAAAAATAAACTTGTTTATTGACAAATAAAGCACAGAATATACTATTGTATTTATTTCTAAATAAGTCTCGCATGTTATAATTGATAAATTATTTAATTTTATCTATATCAAATGCAAATTAGATCGGTATGACCAAATTCGAAAAGATTTGTTAAATGGTGAAATTTGGTAAATACAATTTTGTGTCTAAATTTTTTTGAATTATACTTAAATATAGTTTTAAGAGCAAAATAAAACAACAGATTTTTTTGATTGTTATAGTAGAACCATAAAGGGAGATTTGGAAATGTACATGATAATGCCTGATCCTTTAATTTCGGCTTTCCCCTTTCTATTTTGCTAACAGTACCAACAGTAAAGAGTCTCATAATATTTGAAAATATCTTCAAAAAAGTGTAGAACACCATCATCTCTAGAAAGTGCTTCATCGGCCCTAGGAACGATATATATGTTGCCACTGTTCTAAGCGTTTAGGATCCTATAAAAAACATTTACAATGACAAAATTGGGACTCAACAAAAAAATAACAGTAGCAGCTCTATATGTAAGATTAAAACTATAAAAAAAAAACAAATTTTCTTTTCTAATAAGAAAAATTTAATGTATAATTATTGTTGTTTGTGAGTCAGGATCTATGACTGTAAAATTTTATTTTATAGAAACTTGTAATAAAATAAACTACACTCCGTGATAAGTGTGACTAGTTTACAATAAATAATATATTTAGACATAAATACATTAGAAGCTTTAAAAAGATATTGAATGGATTTCTCCTTGTGTTTTCTTTTCTTTATATCTGATTTGTATCTCGTTTTACAATCTGGAACGAAGTAAATCTTGCTTTGATGGTTTTTGTCACTCATGTTACTTGTACTCAGGAACTTTTTTTTTTACATTATTTTGATTCTGTTCACCAATTTAAAAACATAACATTGACTTACATAGAAAATTGACAGCATTACTCTTCGACATGCCAACTACAGTCAATTTCGCGAACTTTATAAAAAGAAGGACGGAAATTTGAAATTTGACTATTGCCGATTCGCCTCCTTCTTTCCAGACTTCATGCTTATAACACATGTAACGATATACTCGTAAAACAAAAAGCAGTATAGTACAACGTTGAAGCAAATTTCTTTCAATTAATCTTGAATTACTAATTGGTACTTGCAGCATAACACCCCATATTATTTGAAGAACCAGAAATTAATTCAATTTTAGATCAGGTGAAGTATCTACAGGTCCTAAATCTGGTTAAAAAAGTACCAACAAAAAACCCAGTCAACAAAATGTTAGTAAAAATATGGGATGTTGCATAAAATAATCTGCAGCTGTTAATTTCTTAGGTAATTTGAGAAACTCTGGTAGATAACAAAAGTAATCGTTGCTTTTCAATAATATTCTACTAAACATTGACATTTTTCTATTCAGCCTACTATTTTTAAATACCTAGATAAAGTACTAAAAATAGATTCAAGAAAGATGAGATGAAACATTGGCTACTATGATAATTGTGTGTCCCATGCGTAAGAAACTACCAATTAGATTCTACCCATCATAAAAATTGCTAGTATAATGTTACACGTACGTTTGTACTCTTTTCGCTGAGCCTATCTATTGTCTAGAGAAGAAAGGAGTGCAGTAATTTAATTTGCAGGACGTAGTACAGGTTCAAGAGGTAGACATTTTATTATACCTCATTCTTCAGTGCATATTTGTAGTTCAAATTAAAATTTTAATAAATTTGATCGGCCTAATAAAAGTTTTCGTTTTGATTTAATCATTTTTCCATGGTTTTTACCGTATTAAACCTTTTATTTTGACATAGTCATACTTCATTAATTCATAACCGTATCGTATGCATTTTAATTGATTCGGAATTTTGTACTAGTATTTATTATAATTTTACAGTTATAATATAAGAATGGCGAGTGCATTAGAAAATATTGCAAGAATAAGTACGCGTAAGCGACCTAGTGAACATTAACTTTAGAAGAAAAAATATCGTACTAATGTATTTAATAATCTTCGAAAAGACTGTTTCACTTTCTGTGACTGAAACAGCCACTAAATGCGAGACCTATACTGGAGTATCTAAGCACATTATTAAAGAAGATACAGTTATTGGAGAAGTCTCACATCCGAAAAAGCTCCCAAGAAGAAACAAGACCTTTATTGAAACTTGGGTAAAGAATGTAATAAGGCAAATGGTACATTATTTTTTTTTTTTTTTTTTCGAAATGAAATTCTTACACTTAAAAAAATACACTCAGAAATAGAAAATACCCCCACTCTACTAAATATATAATTTTTTCATTTGCAAAAAATATTACGTGAATTAAATTTTCGTTACAAAAAACGTGACAGAAACAGCTTTTTAACAGAGAGACGAAATTATTGCGTTGAGACATGACTATTTAAGAAAAATAGTGGACGCCAGGAATCAGCATAAACATAAGCATAAACAGGTATTATATTTAGATGATTTTAATACTGGACATACAGTAACAAAAATTTGGCAAGATATCTCCATCAAAACTGGAAAACAAGCATTTATGGAAGGGGGTCTCTTGTGGATTAAAAAATCCAACAGGAAAAGGAAATTGTTTAATAATAACCCACATTGGAAGCACCGATGGATTTTTGCCAGATGGTTTATTAATGTTCGGGTCAAAGAACACAAAAGACCATGAAGAAATGGATAGCCCTATGTTCGAAAATTGGTTTCAGAACATTATAAAAAAAAATCCAGCCAACTCCGCTATTGTTTTGGACAATGCATTCTTTCACAGTCGATTAAAGGAGTTACTACTTACAAGATGAAAAAAAGAAGATATTTCAAAATAGCTTCATTCTAAAAATATTATCAGTGCTCCTAAATCCTTGAAGGCAGAATTACGCAAGGAAACATAAAAACAAATTCAAAATTCAGTGCACTCGCCTAAATGTGACACATTGCGATTATTCCATGGATCGGTTACATATTGAGGGTCCGGCAACGTCGCGCTTGAACCTTACCGGCTGCGCATTTACTGTGAAAGTTTTGCCGCCAACGGGTGCACCGCCGAAGGTCGTATACAAATAAGGTAAATATCATAATTTCAATAATTCAAATTAAAAGTGTTTCAAGTTGACTTTGTGTAAAACAGTAGTGGTTGGAATTTAGTTATTTTCATTGTTATGGAGTACAAATATGACAGTGTTAATATTTTATACTGCTTAACCTCAACTCTAACCAGACCAGTGTTTTCGTAGGTGTCAAATTATACTGCGGAAATATTGTCTGGTTATAATTGTGATTTTTTGCCAAAGGCAACGCCCAAAAAGCAACTCTTACAATAATAGTGATGTAAATAATGCAATAGCAGCAGTTAAGAATGGCGAGCTGTCTTATAAAAAGGCTTCACAATTATATCATATTCCGAAAAGCACGTTGATTGCTAGATGCAAAGGATGGAAAAACAGACCAGCTTCAAAAAGAGATCGTCCTGGAAGAGTATCAGATTTTCTTCAAGAAATAGAAGCAGAATTAGCTCAACACTTAGAGACAATGAATAATTGGGGATTTGGACTCTCTCGAAAGGAATTGTTAAATACTGTAGGTGTTTTCGTAAACCAAAACAATATAAAAACAAGATTTGTAAATGGAGTACCAAAGAAAGACTGGTTTATTGTGTTTTCCAAGAGACATCACTTATCATGCAAGAAACCTATTCAGAGGCAAAGTATTCGTACGGAACAGACTACTGCTGAAGTTATAAATGGATTTTTTGACCTGTATGAAGAAACTGTTAAGAATTTAAACTTGTTTGACCGCCCACAATTAATTTTCAATCTGGACGAAACATCCCTATGCAGTGATCCTTCAAACACCAAAGTGGTTGCCTAAAGAAACAAGCCAGTATACTTAGACATACGCATGGCACGGGAAGAAGCAATACTTCAATACTATTTTGTGTGTCAGTATGATAGATATGCAACAAGTTATCGATGTATAACCTGATTATTTTGAGGTAATTATAGTATTACTACTGATAGTAGGTTGATATCAGTTTGTACTTTAAAATATTGGTTTTATTACAATTTTCACCTAAAACTAGTTTTAAGTTATTGATCGTTCAGCGAAATTGCACCAAGCGTTTAACTGTACATCACACAGTTCCATAGTTAAGTTTCATCGCCTCTTTCTTAAATCTACTGGTATAAAAATAAAAAATACCGTCAACAAGGTCTGAAAATATGAAACTTTGGTAATGCGTAGAGCTGATCTTGATCCTAATCGTCGCATCCGATTTAACAGAAGGCAAATTCGACGTACTCGTAGTATTCTTTTGATGCCTACAGTGACACAATATACAGGTTGATTTAAAAAATCACAGTGGAGTTCAAATCGCTTTCGGTTAAAAGTCAAAATTTTCGAATTGGATGTGCTGATACATTCTCTATAAATAAATAAAATATGGGAAGTGACTAATATGACTTAAAATTAACCTTCAAAATATTCTCAAACCTGCAATGAAATTAAGAAATTTTAAGCTACCCTGCAGTTAACTTGTTTTATTTTTCTATTTTTAATTTTGGGAAATGCAAGGTGCGTTTTTATATAAAGTAGGTACAGCGTTGGAATTAAAATCTTTTATATTCTATCTGACTGAGTAAAGGCATTCGTTTGTGTATTTTAAAACGACAAATTAAATTTGCCATTGTCATCTGGTTTTATCACACTAAATTCACATAAAAAATATAGCTAAGAAGTAAAAGCGATACAAAAGGAATATAATTATATAGGAGTACAGATTTTTTTTTAGCCAATATCTACGAGTACATTTTCAATCTAATCTATAACCATTGTATTTAAATAGCTTAGTAGAACAACCTTACGGACGTTTCATAGGAGGTAATCCTGTCACATCTGTTGGAACAAGTACAGAACTTCATCAAAATTGGCCCGTGTGCTAGCGCCTCTTCGATGATTGAGTATAAAATTATAAATATATAAATTTATTTTTATTTTTAATTTATTTTGGGTAGATTGCCAAATTTAAATTTATTTTGTTATATTCTCTAAAATGATGATAAAATTCGTTTTTAAAACAAATATTATGTTCATACTTAATCGACTATCGGTACATCTATTAGTAAATATAGAAATTACATTCGATGTTAAGTTTCGACAACCGTTCCATGGTTCGGTAGAAGACGACAAAATTATCAAAGACATGATAGAGCTTGCTGCCATCTATTGCTACTGTCCATTGTCCTCCAAGATAATTTACATTGTTGTTCTACTAGGCTATCTAAATACAACGCTATAACGGTTCTATCTATTTTGTTCTAATGAATTTACATTTTGTGGGAATATATAAGTGCTTTTTGAAGAGTGTAGGTATAAGCTTAGCTCAGTGTTTGTACCTATATAACTTTATTTCATAAAATTCAAACCAGTTGTTTCTTTAAAAATGTTATTTCCATCATCTTTAAAATTTGTAAAAAAAAAACTTTTTCTATGTAGCTGTTAGCACCAATAAAGGTAGCAAACATTAAGATATCGAATCAGCAATTCAGTCAGTAAGATTGATTTTCTGATTCGAGAATAGAGAATATCCTAAAAATTAAAGAATTAGGATGATGCAGGTAGACGTTTTAGTTGTCATAAGATACACCCATCACCAAAAATAGGTTAAATAAACTTTGCCAGTGGCGTACGGCATGGGTAAGTAATACCTTCATCATCTTTAAATTTTACACCACTGTCCAAAAACTTATTTTGACTATAATTTTAAATATTTTCTTAAATAAATCATGTACTCTTGTTGAAATCAAAATTTCAGAATTTCAAAATAAATTAAAATAAAGAACAGCCACCTTTTTTACGAATATCTCGAAAACCAAGCACTTAATAAGTTTCCAACAAGAGTACATAAATTACGAAAAAACACTTTATGGCATACTATTAGGGTGTATACAGGGTGATGCATTTTTTAAATAGCTGGCCCCCCTTTTTCTATTCCATATCTCAACACAAGAAAAATAAATTATAAAGTCAAAAAAGTACATTTTTATTATTGTTTACACCCATCACCCTGTATAACCGAATATTATGTCAAAAATATTGAATTTATTTTTGATTTTTTTTTTAAATATCAATGTACGACTTATATAAGTTTTTGTCTATTTTTTTAAAATAAAATTACAAAAATCAATTTTGTTTTTAAATTCCGCACTTTGTATACAGGGTGATGCATTTTTTTAAATAGCTGCCCCCCATTTTTTATTTCATATCCTTACATAAGAAAAGCTAATTATGAAGACGGAAAATTACATTTTTATTATTATTTACACGCATCACCCTGTATAACCGAATATTATGTCATAAAATGCTGAAGTTGGAAAAAAATTAACTTGCTTTTGGAATTTTTTGAAAAATCAATAAAAACTTATTCGCTTAATAATTTAACCAGGATCCACGGACATTCTTACATAAACAACTGGATTGAGATTTTACTGCTATACCGCGAAAAAGTAAAAAAAAATAGTGATTTCTTCTGTAACAATATCTGATGTTTCTGTCTTTCTATTTGCAACTTTATTTATAAAAAGAGCTATATTTTTTTTAATCTCTTAGGTTTTGAACAAAAATTTTATAAAGGGACATAAAATACACTAAAATTTGGACACACAGAAGTACAATATATCCTGCTGTTTATGGTCAGTCTTCTGCATTCTACCTCAAGGCTCAGCTTTAGCTCCAATACTAAGTCCTACTACATATTAACAATCTATTAGTAGAAAACCTAGTGCTATTTTATGGTTTTTCTGAAGGAGTGCTTAATCCATTTATGAATTTTACTTGTGTTTTCTACTGATTCTTCTTAACAGTTAAGAGCACTTTGTATGCAAGTCTGCAGACCATCAAGCCATATATTCCAGGTTTTATCTTTATCTGCGCTTTAAGTAAGTAGGGTTACATATATACCTTAGAATACTGCGTAGCTTATTAGAATACTGCGTAGCTTATTAGATTACCTCTGTTTTTAAAGCGTTCTTTAGCTAGAGCTTCGGATTTGAAGACAGCGTCGTATGATGTTTCTCTTTAGTGAGATCATTGTGTAATTCTATCACATGAAGGTGTTTCAACAAGCATTGTCCCGTTAGTAACCCTCCAATGGTGGATATATAGGACCTTGTGAGCTGTAATACCTCAGCAGCCATCCGTGGCTTTGGTCTTCGTGACATGAGCTTACAGAATACGTGTCATATTATTTGTTGCCAGTGAGTTTGTGATTTAGTGATTATTCACCTGTTCACTGCTTCTCTACCAGAAGTTTTGCTTATCCCAAATATAGGTTCGGGTCCTATGAATGGTGGTTCTGATCCCTCTTTGGTGAGGCCATCAGTCTTTTCATTTTTTTTATACTTTTATGTCGTGGTACCAATGCTAGGTTAACCTTATTGTGGGTTACAGATAATTAAGTAAACCAAGACAGTTAAAGAGAAGCTTTGACTGTATGATTATTCTGTTTGAACCAAAGGCCTTTAAGGAAGCTTGGCTGTGTGAAAGAATTAAGATGGTTTTGCTTCATAAATCTGTATACTGATTTAGATGATTCTTTTAAAACTATTCTTCCTCAGCTTTTTTTATGAACAAGGCAAATATTGTACTACATTTTCTTATTTAATTTTGAAAAAAATTGTTATGAGCAATGTCAAAAAGTAACGTACATTTTAATGATGATTGTCATTAATGAATAACAAATTTAAACAAAAAACTATGAATACAGCAATTATTATTGACACACATCAGATACCAATAGCACAGAGAAATGGTGAAAACTCACGTGAAAGCTCAACGTCCTGCTCAATCCTCGGAGCAGTGCACCTCCTAGTGAAGACGTTCCTCAGCAGCCGGGCAGTTTCAGAAAGTCTGTAACCATTTTTTCGATACTCTAGCGCTATCTAGCGGTCGACGAGAAGGGGAAAGGTGGGGGAGAAGAAAGGTTAATTCAAAATAGAGAGAAGCGCGTGCGAACCAAGCGATAGTAAGAGTGCACAGTGAGTGCTATGTTAAAACACATGCAGGAAGAAATACCTGCGCGGCAATATTGGCACAGACAAAAAAACTTCTTAGTTTAAATTTTAGTACGTTTTCATTAACCAATATATAATAACGTACTTGTACTCGTATTAAATAGAAAATCTTAAACGAATTCCTATATTGACAATCAGTCCAGACATTAAATTACATATTCTAATGTATGTTATTCTAACTTTAACGTATAAAGCACGAGACTGAAGTGCCTTTTTATCCCTAGACGAATTGTAGCCCTCTCTCCGGTCGGGCTACAAACTTTTCGCCTCGAGATGAAAAGTACCACTTCAGTTCCTTGGTGTATAATATACTAATATGTTCAGAGATCGTAAACTCGGCATTTAAAGTGCTTAAATAGTCTTATTAATTTAAAATATTAAAATAGGTCAACAATATTTTTTTTGGTACTACCAACAAGGTGAATAAGGATCAGTTGCATAGGAGGAAATATTTTTATGACAGTAGTAATAGTGGTTGCCTAGATCGTATATTTTTGTTTTAAAAGTAAACTTATCCTGAAGCAACCTTGCAACGTGACGTCACTATCTTACGACGTCGCGTTACTAATACACAGGGTTTACCAATAAAAACTTTCCGGTCACATATTTTGGAAAGGAATAGAGATATTATTAGGCATTCCAACGAACTGTCAAAATGCTGACAAGTGGGAACTGACAGTTTAGATATGACAACCCTATGGGCCTATAGTCATTCACAGGGTCAATGATACAAATATAGCTACATAGATTGTTCAAAGCGGGTCGTTTGCGAGTGGCCATATTGCCTCGCAAGTGCTGATTAATCAGAAACGGTTTAGCAAAACTGTGTTTACAAACTAATTTTAGGGCTTTGAATATAGTAAAAAAATAAGTCCTACATTTTTACTTCAAGGATAAGCTTATGTCTATTTTAAAAAACATGGATGATCAATCTATATGACTATCTATTCTATTGACCCTGACAAATCACCAGCCCTACAGGGTTGCCATAATGTTGCGATAGCATAAGCTGTCAAACCCCACCAGTAGCCATTTTATTTGGAATGCCTCATAATTATGTAATTGCCGGTTTGCAGAGCACTAAGAGAGCTTCTTTTTAATCAGATTTTGTTCTATGAACAAATTCAATAAATCTAACAATTTTCGATATTCAAGGTCCAGTTTGTATCGTAAGTATTTCACCGGCTGAAAATAAAGGTAATTTATTTAATAAACTATGATTCAATTTTGCTTTCTTTTTGATGTACATAGGTATTCAAAGAATATGAACAATTATCAGTATTAATTTTCTCCACGAAAAAAAAAGTAAGATACGAAAAAAATTAAGACACACAAATTTGTATTTTTACTTAAT